GCCCACCACTCCCGCCCCCCCCCGGCTTATGGCTCAAGTGCAATGGCTGCCACATGCCAGCCATGCCTCCTGCCCCAGCACAATGGTCTTGCTGCTCCCTGTGTCACCATGGTCCCCCTCTGGAGCCATGCCAGGTCATGTGCCAGGCAGGCAGCTGTACACTGCACCGAGACATGTAGCAGCCCTGCCCTGCCTGCCACCCATCAGCCACCTCCCCGTTGCGAAGTGCTGCCCCCATGTTGTGCCTCGTGTGGCCATGCTGCAGCATCCCAGGTGCAGGTACACCTATGCCTCCAGCAGCCACTCACCTACACAGCGTCCGTTCTCATGCTGGGAGAATCCCTGTCCGCACTGCATTTGGGGAGAAGCAGAGATTGCTGGGATGGGGAGGAATCAGCCCTGGGCAGCCACAGGGCCAGCAGAGCCCAGCCCCCTTATTCCTGACCCCACACCTGGCCCTCACCTCCAGCAGGGCTGGCATGAGTGGCTCCTCCACATCCAGGGGGTAGGGGACCTCCAGGACAGAATTGGTCTCACTGCTGGCCACAGCTCGTGACACCACACGGCCATCCGGCCAGGTCACCTCCAGGCTGCTGGCTTCATCACGCCCTGCAGGTGGGCAGCCTATCAAAGGGGTGGTCTCCAGCGTGGGCGGGGCTGAAAGGAGGCCAGGGGGGTGGTAGGGACAGGAGGGGTAAAGCCTCCCCTTGCTCCCTGAGCCTGGCCCCAGCTGCTCATGCTGAAAACCCACGCACAGGGATGTAGCCCAAAGGGGTGTACTTGGTGACAATGGAATGCCCTGCCAGTGGGCAAGGACACCCCAGTGGGCTTGGCAGGTGGCCATGCTGAGCCAGGGGAGGATTAAAGGATGGGGAAAGCCCTAGTGCTCAAGCAAAGCAACAGGCAGTAGGTGGGGAAGGAGCAGCTGTCCCTTGTAGCTGCAGTGTCGAGGCACCCTGCTTACAGCCTTCCATAAAGCCCACCATACCCAGGTTGATAGGCATGGATGACTACTGTGCTGCAGGACACCAGGACAGGAGACATGGCCTCTGACCAGGGGAGTGGCAGGGAAGGCTGAGGGTGGAGGCAGCCCCTTGATCTCCTGGCTCACCCAGTCCGAAGTGTGCCACAGGCTCCATCTCGCAGAGGTACCCAGAACCACCATCGATGATGCGCAGGTGGGCCCCACTGCGCCGTGTGAACAGCACCACTTTGGCCCCCCGTGCAAAGGCCCCAAAGCGGGTGCGGGGGATGACACGCAGCCAATTGTTGCTGGTGCCCTGCAAGAGAGGAGGGAACAGGGAGAGCAAACTAGGAGAGACAGAAGGGATGGGGACAACACAAGTACTCCCTGCTTGACTCACCTGGGTGCCCCTGAAGATGGAGATTGGCTGTGCCATGGACTCACCATGAGACAGGATGAGGTCTAGCATCCCATCACCATCAAAATCCGTCACTGCACCTCCTGCAAGGACAGCATCATGTCATGCCTGGAGCCTTGTCCTGTATCTCCCAGGTGCATGCAGGGGCAATAGGGAAGATGGGGTGACTCCAGTGTAGGAGTAATGGTCCCTGTGTGGGTGGCACCCTGCAATCAGGTGAGTCAGCACTCCAGGCAGTGGAGAGAACAGGCAGTGCCTAGAGGGCTGTGGGACACAGGAGGCTGGCTGACCCCCTCCCAAATGCAGAGGTTGGCTTTGAACACTGGGCATCCAGGAAGGAGTCCCCAAGAGCGGATCCCTGGGGAACTGGAGATGGCACTGTTGGCTAGGTATGGGTAGAGGGAGAAAGCATAGGGCTGCTCCTCGGTGATGGGGTTTCCAGCCTGCTGGTGGAGAGCAGACAGGTGACCCAGCTTGGCATACAGCATCCCCAGGCACAGAGGGGGCCAGGTTGTGGCACAGTGCTGACACAGATCCCCACTGCCAGAGCCAGGAGACTCACCCGTGCCCCGTCCCTCGGGCTCCAATGCATCCCCTGGATTCAGCTCTTCCACGATGGGGTCTGAGTGGTCCCTGCGGATGAGCCTGTTGAGCACACACAGGGTATTAATGCCAGCCCCTGCAGACCCCAGAATCTTCCTGGGCAGTGTATGTCCCCTCCCACAGAATCATGGTAGAGAGGTGACAGCCCTGATGGCTATGCAGTGTGGATGGGGCATGCAACTGTTCTGTGCCTATTGGCACATCCCCACTCCATCCAGGGGCAACACGAGTTTCATGAGAGCTTGTGGGCTTGAACTGAGGAGCAGCAACACCATCTCCAAACACTGCTGCATCCCTCTGGGACCTGGAGATGCTTCCAAAGTGCTCCTAGCCAAACCACTGCCCTCCACCCACACATGGGTGCCAACACCAGGTAGACAACCAGCTCCCACTGCCCCATACACCAGGCAAGGAGAGGCTACGTGGCAGTAATGAGGAATTGACCTCCACAATTAACAGGTGCCATGAACAAGCTTCCACATGGCTGCTAATCAGTAATGCTGGGGACCCCAGGGGCTGCTGCAGGCACGACCGCAGTGGCCAGTAATGATGCTGGGAAGGGCTCAGTCACGGTGCCTCTTATTAGTTGAGCCTGAGCTGTGGCACTGCTGGAGAGGAGCCCCGTGAGCCTGGCTGTGCTGTGAGGGCTGCTCAACCCCCACAGTGGGGTGAAGTCTTCCTGGCCTCCCAGTACCCACCGGGCTCCTACCGGAAGAGGCGGTTGGCAGAGGAGCCACGGTAAGCGATGTTGTTGAAGAAAATCTCCAGTTCCTGGTCATTGTCAAAGTCGGCTGCGATGACAGTGCGGACGGGGGATGGCATGGAGAACTTGGGAGTGGCGATGTCCTGCACGAGGGGTGGGCATGGTGTGACAATGGGCCTTGGAAGCAGGACACTGGGTCCTGCTTTGGTGCTTCGGGTCCCTCCTCACTGGGAATTGGGGCTCAAAGACAATACAGGGTGAAGCCAGCCCCCCTGGCCAAAGTGGTTCAGTGGCAAAGCCATCACTGTGGGGGGGTCCCAGCCCCAGCCCTCACCCGGAATCGGACCCGTCCAGGGGCTCCACTCTGCAGGTAGAGGCGGTGCGGCCCGTTCCAATTGCCATAGACGATATCCACGCGGCCGTCGCGGTTGAAGTCAGCCAGCGCCACACCGCGTCCATGCTGGTAGGGATCATCTAGCCCTGGGGAACCCAAAGGGGATAGGGGGAGACGGAATTCCCTCCCCGCCTCCTTCTCCCCAGGATGCCTCCTAAGACGTGCTCCACAGTCCCCAGAGGGGTTTTCTGCATCAGGGCTGCATCGCTGTGCTGACAATGCACTGATGCACCTCAGCCCACCACCCGGAGGTCAGTGGGGCTCTGGGCCCCCAGGGCTGTCCCTCCACCCTGCCTCCATCCCGTGCAGGCAGGGACAGGCAGCGCCAGCCCTGCCTTGATGTCCCCAACATCTGGGTGTTGCTCCCAGCTCGTCCTACTCACCCACAGCAGCTGCCACGTCCCGGTACGTCCCATCCCCCCAGTTGTGGAAGAGGAAATTGGGGCTGTTCTCATTACCGCAGAATATATCAGAGGCACTGTCGCTCAGGATGGGGCCCACGGCCACCCCACGGCCCCCTGGGGATGGCAGCCCAGGCATGAGGGGACAGCTGGCACCCTGCCCCAGAGGAGTTTGTGTCCCCCACGCTCCTTCTGTGCTGCCCACTCGGTGCTCCCAGGAACCCTCCTTCCTATGCCCTGTGTCCCCCCTTGTCCACCTCCCATCCCGCTCATCAGGAGCTAATTGGGCCTGGCAGCCGCTTGTGTCACTTCCAACCCCAATCACTGCCATCACCACGGTGACAATACTCCTAATTAGTGGCAGTTTACCAGTAGGGCATGTAGCAGTCCCCATGGCGGTGGGGCAGCATAGGGCACAGGCTGGCATGCTGCCCGCTCCTGTGCCCATGTTCCCAAACCCTGTTGCCTGCCCTGCAAATGCTGTGAGCTCCGGAGGGATCACCCCAGGAGAAGATGGGCACGGGCTCCCGCCAGATGTGCATTCCGTGGCCCTGGTCCCTTCCACGAGCCGTGGGGCTTGCCGCTAGATGGGGCAGTCAGGCAGCCCAACACGCAGCACAGACCTTTGGCTGCGCTCCCTGACACAGTGGGGTCCCACTCTCGCCGTGCCCAGTATGTCCCCGTCCCCTCCACAGGGCCACGGCAGTCAGGTACCTGTGTACTTGCTGACGCCAGCCTGGGTGGCCACATCCACCAGCACCACGACACCACGGGCAGGGTCACTGGCAGCCACGTCCATCTCAATCAGGGCATGGGGGCCGACGTTGCCACTGGCATAGTTGGCGATGTAGATGGAGTACCTGCCGGAGCCCTGCAGCCAGCAGCACTGCCTCAGCACCCACCCACTCAAAATCCACCTCCATGGGGACCGCAGGATCCCTGCCTAGGATGCTCTCATTGCTCTACGGGAAAAGCTACTGTTGCTGTGCGCTGAGCAAGAGCTCTGCAAAGTCCATGGTGAAAAGCATTGTGGGACTGGGGACGTGTCCCATTACCTCGAGGGGCCCTCTGGTCCACAGGCTCACAGTGCTGGCATGGGGCACACTGTCACCCTCTAGCAACCCCAGTGTGCCAGGTCCTCCCAATCCCCACCACCCACTTTGTCCCATGCACCAACTGCCCCCTGATCTAGTGATAATCATTTGGAAACAAACTGCTGGAGGAGGAGGAAGAAAGAGCAGGTGACAGGAACATAAATCACCCTGGCAGGCACGTTTATCAGCTGGTGGCAACCATGTGGACAGATGTCCGCAGTCCCCGATGCTGGGGGGAGCTGTCAGCCTTGACAGTCATGGGCAGCTGGGGGGGACCCCCGACCCCAGTTGGGGGGTGGGCTGGGGCTGGCAAGGGGAGACAACCCCTGAGACTCCACTGGAGGGGCACTAGGGATAGAAAGGGAGCAAAGATGCCCCTGCCTGCAGAGCCCTGCCTGCTCACCGTCCGGTCCACGCAGGCAACAGAACGCCCAGCAAAGCGGCTGGCCACGGCCCGGTTCACCTCGTCGCTCAGGATGTCCTCCCAGCGCCCATTGCGGAGCTTGAAGAGTTTGTCCGTGTAGGTGGCCATGCCTGGGGGGGACATAGGTCAGTGGGCTGCAGCATCCTGCCTCCTCCCGAGGAGGGTGCCCTGCAGCAGGGAAAGCTGTGGAAGAGACACTCTTTTCCCAGAACATCCCAAATCTCCGCTGCCCCTACAGCCCCCAACAGTGCCACGGAGCTGGGCTGCTGCTGCAACAGCCCCCGTGACCTTTTAGAGCCACCAAGAGACACACAGAAGAATCAATTCATTAAGGTAAAAGGTGTCCCAGTGGGGACCCAAAAAAACCCAAAACAAACAAAATTGATTCAGTGCCAGGCCCAGGCAGTGAGCTGAACTGCTCGTGACAATGCTGATGCAGTCTCTGATTTAGGGACAGGTGTGGCAGCAGCCACTGTCT